GTAATAACAGACATCACCATAATCAATAATAGGGAAAATTAACGACTGGACAAGCGTTGCCTTCACGAAGGATGGAAGAAAGTTTTTGAGGTGATACAGAGCCCGCAACGACCCAGTAACCCTCTTACAGACACTGGTAACCTGCGGGCGCCAGCTCAAGGTATTATCAATGTGAAGGCCAAGATTCTTGACGTCGCTGGTGCATGGGATGACCGCACCGTCAAACAGAACAGGGGGAAGAAGAGAGGTGATAGTATACCGCCTTGAGGGACGCCAGTTTCCAAATGGCACCATTCTGATGACGAATCACCAACTTGGACCATCTGTCGCCGCCCCCGAAGATAATATGAGAACCAATGTAGAGTATCATCGGAAACCATAAGATGGGATAGGATGGCTATAAGGATGTCGTGACTGACCATGTTAAAGGCATTTGAGAAGTCGACCAATACCAGTACGGTGACTTTACTGTCTTCCAGACCTGCCCTCACATCGCCAGTCACTTTAAGGAGGGCCGTTGTGGTGCTGTGCCCTGGCCTGAAGCCAGATTGGAAGGGACTTAGTAAGGAGTTGCGGAATACAAAATGTGAGAGTTGCCTGTGTACACAAGCCTCAAGCACTTTAGATAAGAAAGGGAGGATTGAAATAGGACGGAAGTGAGTGGGAAGAGTAGGATTCGAGATTTTAGGCAGTGGCCGGACAAATGCTCTGCGCCACAAGGAAGGAAAAGAACTAGAGTAGAGTGAAAAGTTGATGATGTGAGTTAAGGCTGGGATGAGGTGATCCAAAACTGTTATGATCATGTATCGGGATATATCGTGGACGAGGAAAATTGGTTACAAATGTAGTCTATTAATTTATAATCTCTACTAGGTTTTGGCTGTCGATTGTCAATCGGGATATTGTGTAGACATGAATATTTTATTTTACACGAATATTTACTGAAATTAATTTCTAAACATCGGAAATAAGGTCTATAATGTTATTGATGTTAGTGGAGAGCGGTCAGCGGTGACCGTTTGGGGATTGAGCAGTTAACTTTTAGTACGTAAAGGGTAAAAACAAAGCCTTCACAGAAATATCTTTAAACATCTTTGGATGTAGATAATGTTCTGATAAAGAAAAATGTATCACAGAACCGAACGACTGCATAGAATTTGGTATAATATTCGAGCTTCAATATTATAGACAATTTATTTTGCTAATCTAAAAGTCATGATAAACAAAAAAGTGAGACGTAATAGATTGTAACAAAATCATTATTCCTAATCTACTAAAATAATAAACAATTATTCAACAAAACTTTCCTTCAATGTTCATTAACATCAAAAAAACTGAAGCGAAGTATTCAATTTGAAAATTAGGTTTCATGAGTGCTTTTACAATTACAAAGCAATTTATATCACATGTCCACATTCAGTTTATATTAAACTAAATTTGATATTTAGTAAATAGATCCCTTTAGAACTTTAGTACTTAGCTAAACTAAGTTATTCCTAAGCGATTTTGTTAATGTAAGTTCAGAATTTGTTATTAATGTTAAAAACTTATGTCCCTTGTGGTGTGGACTGGTCTTGATGAAGGTTCAGACAATTTTACAAGTGCATTGAGTTTGTTTGAGAGAACTAACTAGTTGTAATGATATTTTAGTGTGTGATTTATAGTATTTGTATCTAAATTAACTAAAAATCGCGGGTTATTCACGTAAATGTACCTCTACTATTAAGTTACTGTTAAAGTTCTACTAGTTTCAAGCCCCAGGGCTCTTCCTCATGAGCAGCGTGCGCGGTCGTGGCGATGTTGCGCTCGTTGGCCGAGTGGTCGCAAGAGCGACTGCCGGGTAAGGGGTCTCGGGTTCGATTCCCGGGTCAAGCAAAATATTACAGGGTTTTTAAAAAAACCTTAGTAGTAACACGGAGTCTGGAATTGTGCCCGGTATATGACCTGGAGTGAGCCTTTACTCCCTATTACATGGGACTCATAACATAAATAGTAAAAAGTGGGTGTTACATTATATAGTGGCATTTAGTGCCGTAATGTGCACCTCTGCCTACCCTTTTGGGAATAACAGACATGATGTTAAGTATATGCGCAACTCTGCTTATCTCTTGTTTATGTTTTGTTATTTTGTTTGAATTACTCTTTACACTGCACTTAATTTCATCACCAATTCCTGTTTTCTCGCTTGATAATTTATCTTAATGCTATCAAATTAAATATTTAAACAACAGTGATATGTTTTATACTGATGTGCACTCTGGGGAACTATGTATACAAACGAGATAAAAGTAATGTATGTTTTCAGAATACCAGGTAACTTTCAACGATTTTTTTTATCTGTCCTCCGAGGCCCATAAATATCCGGGTTTAATTTTGTTAAATTATGTTTCAGTGAATGTGTACAGCTGTTTCTTTTTTAGTAGATAACTCTTTGGTTGATATAGTTTTTTAATTGTGTTACATGCTACCTCATTTTTCAAATCGCTCAAAGTATGACTATTGAGTAAAGAGTAAAGCTGGGTTTAATTACCGAGTCGGTTTTTCGAACACTTATGAGAGTTATGAATAATATCCTGGAGTCTAGAACTATGCCCAGGATGTTATTATTATGAATATACACATTTTTTTTTAAAAAGACGACGAATTCAATTTCTTGCTCGTTCTTCTCTATCCGAATCTACATTTTCGAATGAGCCCCTAGCTTCATCTAGCTTCATTGAGTGACTGACTGACAGACTATTGTTTATTTTGTATTTGTTGACGTTTCAAAAGTACCAAATTATGGTTTAATTAAAATAAATACTTTGACTTTGACTTTGTTACAATAGGCTCACACCTAAATACAAAGGACTTATAATATGAGTGATGAATAGTTGCTGTTACATTGTATAATGACATATGTTACATTACATCTCTGCTTGCTTCTAAAGGTGTTACAGCGTTACAGCGTAATATAGAACTCTGCCTACCCTCTTAGAGATTGAAAGCGCGTTACAAATAGGTGTCTATTTCAATTTAACCTTCGTGCAACATTATAAACATGAATATGTACTCAAGGAACGGTAAATAGCGGGAATAATTAACTCAAACGTCGGGAAACCCGCGGCGTCTGCGCACCGGCCCGTGAAAACTGAAAGTGTATGTTATCACATAATTTTCTAATTGGCTAACGTAATAATTACGTTATGTTTGTTATGTTGTATTGTTGTTGTTATTTAACAGTTTTTTTAATATACATAGCATGTTTGGTTGTATTGAATTCTAAATGATTAAAGAACAACGGTTTGAATATTTAAAAAGTTAATATATTACTTTTGTAACGACGTTTTTTTTTTGTAATATTCTATTTTTATTTTTGTTGTTTTATGTAGACTGTAATATTTATATTATAACTTTCGTGAAACAAACTAAATTAATTGTTATGTTCTAGGCTTACTCTTATAGAGACTCAAGCCTTGCTAGAGGTAGAGGCTCATATTCACGAGCAGTGTTCCGCGACACACAGCCAATTCCTCGTAATAATACACAACATAATAATTTGTATGTATTTACATTATACCTGTATCATTACTATAAAGTTAATACAAGTAAAACCTTATTTATATTTCATACATAGGATTGGCCGCTCCTTCGTAGTTTTGTCAGGATATTTCGCAATTAATCAAGAATTATGTTCGATAGCTGTTTGCGCAAATATTATAGATACGCCTTTGATAAATACCCAGTACATAGTTCAACAAATACATAGGAAATTATTTAAGTAGTAAATGATTAAATAAGTTTTTAATTCATTATAGCCTAAATATTTGTCAATGGTATATTATGTAGAATAGTCCTTTAGTCCATAGTGAACTGTCACAAACCGATGGTGATGTGATTACAGATCGGATAGACTTTTTTTTTGGTGACGGGGGAAACCTTTAAAAGGCGCCTAGCCTTTTTGGGGATAAAAGACTAGGGAGTGTGGGATTTTTACCACCCCGGTGGCCACCCTCAACACCTGAATGGAGGCACCGGGTCCTCTAAAAGAGACCAGCTCCGGAGCCTCCACGGTGCAACGCCTGTTACGACGCATCCCTTGGGAGAAGGTCGTATAGACCTGATGTTAAAATTACATCTTTGATTTCAATTGACTGTTTCTTGGACTTTTCTTTGTTCAGTACAAATAGAAGAGGGTTAGTTTTTACCTCACAAAGGGAAGTCAGTCCACGTACAAGGCAACTAAAAACAAACGTATCACGGGAAAAGTTTCATACAAAAAATACGGTTATAAATTCAATAAAATTGACACGAACAAAGCTACAAAAATCTGTATCCGACCGACATATTTCACTATTCGTATATTAGATTTCGTAAAAAAACACTGTCCACAATCCACATATTGTAGGCTTTGACAGATAGAATAAACAATTTTGTCTTAATCCAATGAAAGTTTTTTTTTACATAAAAAAGTCAATCACAAAGTGGTGATCCACAGTGGGCACAAATTCGGCGGCCATTGAAAAAAAGTGCTTTTATCGACGACGGCGTAATTCCGTTGATGTGTTTCGAATATCCGTGTAGAACTGTAGATTTATTATTTTTATGTGATTCTCCTGAACAAATAAAATGAATGCAGAATATTTTGTGACTGGTTACTGAATATGATATTGATTTATGAAATGTCATGAAATTCTTATCATTATAATTATTGAGACTTGTTTCTTTATTTAATGTTAAAGATAGAAGAAGAAATAGCAACAAAAACTTACTAAGATTGTGTTATTTTCTTTTTCAAACCGTTTAACTATTTTTAATTATCTAAGAATTGACTCAAAGTCTGTTTTGAATCTACTCTAAGTGATAGCAGGTTTCAGAAACAACACGGAAAATATCACAAACTAATTTGTATCCATATAACAAATTCGCAATACATACAAACAAGTTAATTCGACAGGTCTTTGGCCGTTATTTCATAAACCAAACCCTACCACGACTTACTTTTAGTGGGGCGATGACTGCACTGTGCTTCGTTTAGTTGTAGCTACATTCTCGTCAAGACCGTTCATAGTCAAGTTGCCAAAATGTGTGGGGAAATGGGTAAAGCTGTGCTGAGGGCGCTGACTGGCGCGTTGCTGTGTGGGCTCGTGTCTGATGCTGCGTATTTACAAGTAAGTCGTTTTGTATTAGTGTAGGTTACCACATTTTTGCATCGTCAGTGCATTTTTCAGCTGATAATGGAGATCTGAGTTCTGATTATGATAGATGGTAACATAAGTAGTGTTCTATCTGGATGTACACGCGATTGCAGTTATAATTTAGCTAAGTGTGTAGTGCTGTGATAGGTTCGATTCTCGGTTCACGTTAAGTCATCGTAGACCGCATCATCGCAGACCACCTTAGACACTAGTCAAACGTGGTCCCATCAAATATAAAAAAAATGTATTATGCTATCGGAAATTTCAGAATGGAGTTTATGGATTGATGTATGGGGTAAGATTTTAAATATTATGAGTGTAGTTTGATAAAATAATAGCTATCAAAATCTCTTCTAGACGTTCTAATGGTTTTAAAAGTTAGGGTCCCTATTCTTATATGATAATTATATTAAGTAAAACTCGCAGATTTGTTCAGTTTTGGGTTAAAACCATAATCACAATAATATCTGCCGAGGCCAAAACTTGTCGGACTTGTAGGAAACAAAATATGTGGGAAAATTCTTAATATAACCATAATGTAACATTGTACAATATTGTCAATTGAAGATAGGGATCGTGAGAGTTGATTGTTTATTATCAACCTTGTTACTTTACAATAAGGTAGAAGTTGTTCTTGCGTAAGGTAATGCTAGGTATAAATATAGTGCATTCCTTTTATATTCTGCTAGAAGATAGGCAAGGATTTTTTTTATGGAATGGAACGGCACACGATTTGTTGGATCACCTGATGGTAAGCAATTCACGCCCCCTATAGACACTCATAACACCAGACTAGTTACAAGTGCTTTGCTGCTCTTTTGGATGTTAAGTATTTAAGGATTGGGTGATTTTGGAATTGTGATATTTAGCGATTGAGAGATTTGGGGATTCAAAGATTTGGCGATTGGAGATTTGCGGATTGTGAGATTTGGGGATTGGAGATTTGGGGATTGATAGATTTGGGGATTGGGAATTTGGAGATTGGGATATTGGGGATTTGGGGATTAGGAGATTTGGGGATAGATATTTAGTGATTGGGAGATTTTTAACCGACTTCAAAAAAGAAGGAGGTTCTCAGTTTGACCTATACTACATACTATTATGTATGAATGTTTGTCCGCGATTATCTTGCATTTGCTGAACCCTGTGTATAGTGTTTGTAATACTTATGAGAAGGTTTTAGTATACATATATTAACAAACCGAGTTCAAAAAAGAGGGGCTTGAAGTCGATATTTTTAAACTTAGTTTATAAAAGAATTATCATCAATTATGTTTATGAACCCCGTGATTATAAATCACATATTAATGCATCAAAATTACGTATAACCAAAAAATTATTGAACTACTTTGGTCGATAGCTTTTTATCCATTAATACAGAATACATTTCTATTCAATAAAGACCTGGTAAGTGCCGTTCATGGGTTGTTACGACATCTTGTTAATATTTAATGTATGAGTAGTTTTACTATGAGCACCGCTGTTAAATATTTTACGACTTGAGACCTGAACTCGATTCACTTGTCAGGCCAATATTTTATTGAACCATTTTATATATTCGTCACCATGCCTTCTAAGTCCGGTGGGTGTCATAAGAGCCTAGTAACAGAAATTATCATTCCCTATCTAAAACCTGGAAGCCCAATTACCCTCCCCTTCCCCAATCTCCACAATCCCCGAATCCCCAACGATCCTCAAACTCCTAATCCCCAAAAAGCCGGTAACGTACTTGTAACACCTCAGGTGTTCCAGGTGTCCATGGGCGACGCTGATTGCTTACCACCAGGTGATCCGTCTGCTCGTTTACCGTATTTATGCCATAAAGAAAAACAAAAAGTAGTAAATTAGGGTAAATGCTTTTGATTTTGAGTTTGAATAGAGCAGTGCGGTCAGAACCCCACTTTCTGATAAATTCTCAAAACTCTCTTTGTATGGCGATTACTGTCTTGGATAGAACATTCTCAGAGTTAAACTCCACAATATATTTCACGCGTATTAAAATTTAACAATTAAGATGTAACAAGTATGTATTATTAACATGTATTTTTTTATAAGTGAACTTTTTGCTGTAATATCCTTTTCTTTGTTTAATGCAGGCTTGAAATAAGGCTATACTATACACAGGGGCGTGCACAGAGATTTGAAGTATGGTAGGCAGAAGGTATCACATGATTAAAAAAAATTTGGTCTACATTAATCTCGGAAAATAAAACTCCCGAAACATCATAATTTTGAGTAGGTAATTAGGTTTAGTAAGTATTTTATTAATTTGTATAAACAAATTAGGTACATAATTATTTTCAAACTATCCGTGTATAAAGTTGATCAACATAGATACCTAGGTAGGTATCTATTTTACAAATCTATTAACTAGGTACCTACTTTGGAGCGGCGAAGTACAAATGTTTACACATCAAGCTATGCGACACCAGTATAAACTGACCGTTAAATGCATAGAAAAATCGTACAAAGCGAGATCAAGATGACTGGATTATAAAACATTACCTAATGAAATTGGTACACAACCAGTGCTAACAAAACAAATTATACCTATAATCGCAAATCGTAGTTTATTAAAAGAAATAATAAAATTATTACCTTTTTTGAGTTACACCTAGCCCGGACATACGACACACGCAAAATCGCCTTTGTAAATATTTTCGTTTCTTCTTCTAACGACAATAAGGACAACGCACTCATATTTAATTTATTGAACAACACAAATCACCAGCACAGAGCTCACAGTTATAATTTTACATAATTTTCGGTAAATTAACAGTTCATTTAAATTATAATTCATTACATTACAATTTATTCACTTGCACATAAAAACATAACCAAAACAAAATGGCCAAAAAAAACGTAAACAATAAGTTGACCAAAATTAATATATCTATTTTCAATCAACAAACGCTACGTTTTGTTGACTTCTTAAATTAGTCGGATAGCGAAGAAGCAGTGCTTTTGCAGTTGTATAGAAATTACCAACCTAACAAAAAAAAAATCCAACATCAGCACGAGAAAACAAGCAAATTGTACCGGCTACGCATTAGTACATGCTTCCGCCACCATCACACAATAGCGAGGTGGCGGCGCCACTGGAGAAATGCTTCAATATTATATCGAAGAAAGTAGAAAGTGGTTGTAGTACTTCAATATTTTTTCGATAGATGGCGTTAGTGACCAGTTTTTCAAATTAAGTATCAATAAAATTACGAAATCTCTGTATGATGTCAGTAAATATTCATGTCGTGTTTATGAGTGACACTATGTATTTGACTATGTAGGTTTACCATGATTTTGTAGGGTATGCAGTGCTTATTTGCATGTATGGTGTGCACGCCACTGACTATACAATGTTGTCGCGGAGAACCTAACGGGTAACCGGGGCTCCGGCTCGACGTGCAGGAGAAGGAACGGGGTGGTTTTCGTCAGTAAGAGTCTGACACTCCCTTTCGCCTCACCCAGGCGGGAGCAATCATTCGATGATTTACCCCCTTAAAAAAAAATACTATACAATGTTAAAATAATTATGTTAAAAACTTATCATGCATTTTGGTGTATGCTTTGTTGGTTGCCCTTAAATAAATTAAGAAATAAATCTGAACCTTTTAACGGGCGATGTCTAACTAGCTTGCCAAGCGCGGAGATTATATTGTAACCCTGTTATGTTAGGAAGACATACAATCCAATAATAGAGAATCATAGACTGTTGATGATATTGATGAAGACGGAGAATATACTTGCCCATGTTTCTAAGAACAACACTTGTAGGATTTCATTCTCAATATTAACTAAGACTGTCTTGTTGGCCGATAAGTCCGACTGCCGGGCAAGGGGTCTCGTATCGGGCAAAGTATTACCGGGTGTTTTTATAAAATATCTCAGTAGTAGCCCTGAGTCTGGACCTGTGCCCGGTATATGGCAATAGACTCATCCCCTATTACATGGGACTCATAACATAAATAGTGAAAAGTGGGAGTTACATTGTACAGTGGCATTAAGCGCCATAATGCCTACCCCTTCGGGGATAAAAGGCGTGATGTTATGTTATGTACTGTGAAGACTATTTCGAAGAAATGTTTTTCTGTATGACATACTTACACTTAATAATGTACTCATATCACCGCTTCCAAACTGCTACGTACTATATATCACTAAGGACATAATATACAGTAACAGACATACCGATTTCATTATGTAGTTGTCCTCCAAACAAATATTATTGGCTAACATCTGGCCGAGTCCAAGTCAATATAATAAATGTTTGTCAAAGCTTTTCGACTGACATTTTATTTGTTTTTCTTTGGAAATTCCTGTGATTTTGTTGTGACATCTTGTTTTTTTGGTGAGTGAAATATTTGGAGTCTTGATGTTTGTTAGAAGTGGACAGGTGACGGCTGAAAGACTGAAAGGTTTGGAAGAATCGAAGATGGATTCTTTTGGGTACAGTTATCAAGCTGGTGGTTTAGATATGGTAATGATTTTTGTGTGTTTTTACCTTAGAGTTACCTTCTGTTTAATCACTTGATATATCTTATTAAACCCACAAAATTTGTTCATACAAAAGTAATTTCTAAAGATCGAAAATAAGAACTTTAACGAAGTGAGTGTAGAGCGGTCACCGGTGACCGCTTGGGGAAGATACTGTAAAAGTTTGTTTAAGTTCTAGTATTTTGATAAAAAGCAAAAACATGAGTATAAGTGCGAGAAATAGAAGTTCCGCTGACTATATCTACTTATTCTGTTTTATAACTTATAAGCAAAGAAAACTATTATAAAACTTAATTTAAAACACCACCAACAATATTTCATATTAATATTAACATGCAAATGGGTTTGTAACATCGTTTCAAACTTCCAAATAAGTGCATAGTTCAAAGACGAAGTTTGCTACAAATGTTTAAAGTACAGATATTACAATAAAAGGGTGGACGGTATCTAGTTGCTATAACTCGACCTCTCATAAGGGA